TACCTCTAAACTACTCGAGAACTGCGCGTTATAACACATTACTCTTTTATGACCTAAATATACCAGAAATCTCAAGGGAAAGGAATCCTTGAAAAATTTATGAAAAAAAATATTTTTTAAAGTCCATAATGAAAGCTTACAAAAAAGTACCCCAAGCTTAAAATATGTCCTGTGAAGGTTTGAAAAGCTAAAAGTTTCAGAATAAATCATGTCTTTTTAAAAAAGAGTGAAAGAGGATAGGACTTGCCTGTCTGGAAGTTGTTTTACGCCTGGTTAAAATAGCTTTCCATCTCAGTCTTTAGATAGTCGAAAAAAACCAGGATTTTCCGTTTAAGAATTTAGCCAAACAAAGTTTTTTTGCTTGGGTGGAGGGGTTTAAATAAAATTATTAACAATGTTGATTTCGTCTAATTTTTTTGTTCTCGCAATGGGCCTAAATTAAGCAAAAACCTATTCTTCTTGTAGCACATTACACACGTTGAAAACCTAATCATACCAAAAAGCCGACGATAAAGAACCCTGAAAATTTCCTGGAAAGCAGTGTAACCGGTCCCCTGCAAACCTGGACGTCCTTAGAAAGGTGTTTAGGAAAGCGCCAAAATCGTGGTTTTTTTGTTGTTTTAAAGCATTGACACCTTGGAAAGCACGTGCAATCTGAACATTAACAAATACGATGGAATGCATATGCAATTTTAAATATATATTTTCTTCTTATTTGTGCCCGGTTTCGTCGATTTTCTCAACTACCTCTAAACTATTCAAGTACTGCGCGTTAGAACACATTACTTTTTTAAGACCTAAATATACCAGAAATCCAAGGGAAAGTATCAAATCCCTTAAAAATTTAAACAAAAAATAATTCTTAAAATCCATAATGAAACCTTACAAAAAGTACTCAGTTAGACCACTAAACATAATGGAATTAATAATAATGTTAGTTTCGTCTTTTTTTTTATTCTTGAAATTGGCCTAAATGAAGCAAAATACTTCTTCTTGTAGCACATTAATCGTTGGAAACCTAAATATACTAGAAAGTCGATGATAAAGGACCCTGAAAATCTTCTGGAACGCACGTGTCATCGTAACGTTCCAGAAATACTATGGAAATTGCCAAGAAAGGCTAAGAAAAGTGGTATTTCTTAGAAATAATCATGACAATCTAGCGTCCATAAATAATCTAATCTGAGAAGCTGAAAAGTTACTGGATATTCAAAGGATAATTTTAATTCCGAGGAAAGGTTTTGATAAATTTCCGATTTTCGGTAAAAACTTCTTTTCAAATAGGAAAAGCTTTTTTTTGCTTTTTTTTGTTGTTAGATAACTAAGAACCTGTCTGTAAGTTTGTTTTAATATGCAATTTTAAATATATTTTTTCTTCTTATTTGTGCGTTGGTTTCATCGATTTTCTCCCCTACCTCTAAACTACTCAAGAACTGCGCGTTATTCAAAGGATAATTTTAATTCCAAGGAAACGTTTTGATAAATTAACCATTTTTGCGGTAAAAACCTTATTTTCAAATAGGAAATACGTTTTTCTAAGTAATTGAGCACCTGCCTGTAAGTTTTTTTTTTGTTTTTGTATATGCAATTTTAAATATATTTTTTCTTCTTATTTGTGCGTCGGTTTCATCGACTTTCTCCCCTACAGGCCCACTCGGATTTGCAAAGATTAAGAACAAACTTCTAGACCTTTCTTTATCTGTTTTCTTAATCGCTCCCGAACCCGAGTAAAATAAAACTGAAAGAGAAAAAAAGATCAGACCAGAGAACAGGGTCGAATTTCACAAGCCGGTTCCCTCCGATTGGAAGGTAAGCAATACTCTTGAAAACACTATTCCCTTTTATTCCGACCGTTAAACCTAACAACCCCCCGTCCTCATCAGTGCATTCAATCCGCTTAATTAACATTTCAACGATGATATTTAGCAATAAATAAAATATAAAAATTTCATTAGTATATAGCATACCAGAGAAAACCGATATTATTAGTTAAACCTCCACCACCGCTCAAGCAAAAAAAAAAAAAAACTTTATTAGCCTAATTTCTTAAAAGAAAAACCGAGGGTTTTCCGACTATATAAAGACCGAGGTGGAAAGCTCTTTTACCCAGACGTAAAGCAACTTCCAGACAGGCAAGTCCTATCCTCTTTCACTCTTTTTTAAAAATATGATTTATTCTGAAACTTTTAGCTTTTCAAACCTTCACAGGACATATTTTAAGCTTGGGGTACTTTTTTGTAAGCTTTCATTATGGACTTTAAAAAATATTTTTTTTCTTAAATTTTTCAAGGATTCCTTTCCCTTGAGATTTCTGGTATATTTAGGTCATAAAAGAGTAATGTGTTATAACGCGCAGTTCTCGAGTAGTTTAGAGGTAGGGGAGAAAGTCGATAAAACCGGCGCACAAATAAGAAGAAAAAATATATTTAAAATTTTATAATAAAAAAAAACTTACAGACAGGTACTTAGTTATCTAAAAAAAAAAAACGTATTTATTATATGAAAAGTGGGTTTTTACCGTAAAAATGGAAAATTTATCAAAACCTTTCCTTGGAATGAAAATTATCCTTTGAATCTCCAGTAACTTTTCAGCCTCTCAGATCAGATTATTTATGGACGCTGGATTGTCATGATTATTTCTAAGAAATACCACGTTTTTTAGCCTTTCTTGGCAATTTCCATCGTATTTCTGGAACGTTACGATGACACGTGCTTGCCAGGAGATTTTCAGGGTGCTTTAACGTCGTTCTTGTATATTTAGGTTTTCAACGTTTAATGTGCTACAAGAAGAAGAAGGTTTTTGCTTCATTTGGGCCCGTTACAAGAAACCAACATTATTATTAATTCCATTATGTTTAGTGGTCTAATTGACCAAATTACTTCTTTCAATTATTTTATGTAAGGTCTTGGTTAAAAGTAAATTATTATTAATATTATTTAACCCCCTCCACCGAAGCAAAAAAAATTATTTGGCTAATTCTTAAAGCAAACCCCAGGTTTTTACTTCTATGTAAAGGCCGAGGTGGAAAGCTCTTTTACCCAGACGTAAAACAACTTCCAGACAGGCAAGTCCTATCCTCTTCACTCTTTTTTAAAAATATGATTTATTCTGAAACTTTTAGCTTTTCAAACTTTCACAGGGCATATTTTAACTTTTTGTTAGATTTCACTATGGATTTTAAGAATTATTTTTTGTTTAAATTTTTCAAGGATTTGGTGCTTTCCTTTGGGATTTCTGGTATATGTAGGTCTTAAAAGCGTAACGTGTTTTTTTTTTTTTTTTTTTTAAAGCCCATTTGTAAGTATGTCGGGTTAGAATGCAGGGCCGCTGGATTCGAACCCGGGACCTAAGACTAAACCTTGCGGCCACCGAGGCCCCCCCCGCAGTTCTTGAGTAGTTTAGAGGTAGGAGAGAAAGTCCATGAAACCGGCGCCCAAATAAGAAGAAAAAATATATTTAAAATTGTTTAGAGGTATAAAAAGTACAAAAAGAAGATTTCGACTTTTTCTAAACCTGCCTTTTAAGCATGTCCAGGTTGCATGTACTTTTTTCTAGGAAATTTCCAGGGTTTTAAAATTTTGTTGCTTTTTCGTGGGTTTAAGACTTCAGGTTAGTTTAAGTCTTCAACGATAAAGTGCTATAAATAGGAAAAAGGTTTTTGATTAATTTAAGAGTAAAGAGAGACAGTTTTTGGTCAGGACCACTAAAATTACAAAAAACAAAAATTTTTGTTTTCCTAACCTCCTTTCTAAGAAGTCCAGCCTTCGTGGATTTATCAGGATATTTACAGTGTTTTAATACTTTTTTGTGGGATTTCAGTTTTCTAAATTTTTAAGGATTAAAATGCTATAACGAGACACAGTTCTTGGGTTCTTTAGAGCTATTAGATGTGAAAAAAGATTTTTGACGCCTATTTGAACGTGCTTTCTAAGTATATCTAGGTAACAGGTGCTGTCCAGATTTACAAGGTATTGGTGCTTTCTCGTGGGTTTAATAATTTAATGTTTAGAGCCTTTATAAGGACTAAAAACAGGTTTTGACGCTTTCCTAACCCTTCTAAATAATGTTCCGGATAGAAGGATTTTCCATATTTGCAATGCTTTGTTGTTTTTCCATATTTCTAGTCTGTTGAAGTCCTTAAAGATTAAACTGCTATAATGAGACAAAATTGTAGGTTTGTTTAGGGTTTAAAAGTACAAAAAAAAAGGATTTAGATCCTAATTTGGTACAGGATAAACTTTTCCTAGAAACTCAGTAAATCTGCAATAATTGGATCATTGAAATTAAACTAATCAATAAAATCTTTTCAGGAAATGAAGTCCAAGTTCAAACAGAACATAATCTCTACGCTCTAAGACAGGAGTTTTTTTTGCTTACAAGTACCACTTTATTTGTTTACTATTATTGTTTAATTTTATTTTTCTAGTTACCCTTGGGGTTTTTCTTTCTTTTTGAAATGTATCCTTGTTATATTCAACCTTATTGTAGTGTTCCTGTTTTGAATTCCTACTTTATATACAAACTTAAATGCAGTTTGTAAAAAATTTTATTTATTGTTTCAGGTCAAGGCTGAAGTCCCGCGATGTTCCATTAAATAATAAAAAATAAAATATAACTCCATCCATGCCCAGATTTCTCTTGAAATTTTTCTTCTATTTTCATGGCAATGTGTACATTATAAAATTGAATGTTTTACGATCCACGATCTGCTTTTTTTTTTCTTTTTGAACTTTTTCCAGGCGTCCAGCTTGTGCGCCGAAGCAAGATTTGGGACCGCCAAAGATGTTCGATGTACAGCGACTGCGAAGGGAAGAGGAGGGTCGGCACAGAGTTCCTTGGAAAACGCGCTATGGCCCCCATTTTAGGCAGAGCATAGAAAGAGACCAAAAATCCGAAACCTTGTAACCGCCATACAGGATAATAAACTATAAAAATAATCCACCTTGTTCCTTTTAGTCCATTCGACTTCGACCCCAACTGAATACTAAATAATACAAAAAAATTATAAAGGCTTTTATTTATATTAAAAATTACAAAGGAAAATATATAGGTCTATACGTCTTAACCACTATCACAGATCCTCAAGAGCTACATTAAAATATATGTATTTACATAAATATAGATTTTTTATAATCATACACACACATGCATAAAAAATAATTTTTTGTAAATTTTTGAACATTCTTGTACAGTCTTTTTTAAGCCTCATGACAAGTCTGATTCTTGTTGTGAAAGATTTCGTACATTCATAACTTTTGAGAAAATACATTTTACTCTTATATTTCTTTTTGAGCCTCTGGACTTTCTAAGCGAACTGCTTATCGAGGTGGTTCGAAAAACAAAATATTTACAACAATCATGAACTTAACGACTATAATTGAGCTTGTTTATCAATAATTATTTCGTTTAAAAAAATATTATCTTCTTAAGAACCCTTTCTGTCTTTTTTTGTATTGTTTTATGAGGGTCAGTTTTCTCACTTCTCGCCAGTCGACATGAAGACCCGGTTCCGCAGGATGTCTGTCCCTGTGTATCCGTTCGACATATGTGTCTTATCAGGCTGCTCATAGGCAGGGGTGGTGCCCGTCTGGTCATCCTTCTCTTCCACCTTCATCTTCTTCTTACTATTATATGCCTGGTTGTAGAAGTCCTTGAAGAGGAAGTAAAACATAACAGCGTGAAGGCCGATCCACCAGGCAAATGCCTTCGGATAGTTGCAGTCGATGAAGAGGAGCTGAAAGGCGTGAATCATGACGAGGACAAACTGAATCTGATAGAAAGAAAAACAAAGACAAATTAGAAGTAAAGAAAAGATGCTCTGGGTATCAAAGAGTAAGCACAACAAACAGATAAATTTGTTAGGTTTGACAACTTGTCAAATAATAAGAAACAAGCAGGAAAGTAAAATAAATATTGATTTATTTTTCAGCCAAGGGTCTTATGATCCTTAACAGCATAGAAAGTAATGGTTGAAAGAAATTCAAACTGTTTAAATGGTTAGGGGAAAGTTTGTACGTACAGGAAGAAAAACTATAACATATTAAAATAAATATCAAGAAAAGTAGTTAGGCTAATATTCAAAGTGTTGTAAATGATTAAGAAGAAATAGATGACATTTTTACATTTCTAAAAGGCTTGTAAAGCAGAAGAAACAAGAAGAAAAGCAAAAAAAGATCTTTCAAACCGACAAAAAAACACATCATAAAATCAGATAGCTAAGCAGCTATTAAGCTTTAGCGTGTAAAAAAACATAAACTAGTCAGTGAATACATCCAAATCTCTAAAACCTGGGGAAGCACAATAACCTAGTTATAGCTTGGGTACGAGGACTCAAAGGATTTTGGGTAATGAAAAGGCAAACTTGTCAGACCTGTATGCCCATATATAGGCTCTGAACCTATACTTTGGATTAAAAAAATAAATAAATAAATAAAAAACCTCTAGCAATGCCCTCTTGGGCCAAACTCAGAGTGATAGAGCCATATACCAGCCACTGGCATCTGAGACATGTACATAACATAGGTTTATGTCATGACTCCATTTGTAGGTTATGCTATGAGGAGGAAGAAATAGTCGTCTATGATCTGATACTTCTTAAGATAATCAATCATAAGAGTTAGAAAACAAGGAAAAACTAGTGCAAAAGTAAAAGATAGGGTAAATTTTTCTTAAAAAGCATGAAAAACTAAAAAAATGTACAGGTTAGGAAAATATTCATTTGTTTTCCAAGAGAAGAAAGTTAAAAGATAAATTTGTTAGGTAAAGGAAGATTCTCAAACAGAAGGAACAGTAAGAAAAGTAAATCCAAGGGTGTGACAATTATCAAACATCACAGTAAAAAGAGTAAAGGTTGTGTGAAAATTCTAACTGTCTCCCAGATAAAAGATGAGACTGGTTTGAAAACAGAAGCAAAAGAAACATAGCAAGAGAAATATTATTCTTAAAAAGCATGAAAACAGAAATCCTAAAGAAATGTGGAGGTTAGGAAAAGACTCATTCGATTTCAAATAGAAGAGAAGAAATAGGTAAGCTAGTTGGATCAAGGAAGCTTCTAAAATATAAAAATAAAACAGATAATTTATGCTTAAAATGTATGAAAAACTAAAGTCCTATGGAGGTTAGGAAAAGATTCATTGCATTTCAAAGAGGAGAAAAGAAATAGCTAAGCTAGTTGGATCAAGGAAGCTTCTAAAATATAAAAATCAAACAGATAATTTATGCTTAAAATATATGAAAAACTAAAGTCCTATGGAGATTAGGAAAAGATTCTGCTTTCACAGCAAATGTGAAAAATATATCAAATTTCTAGTTCACGACAGCTTGTATAAGTAACACAAGTAACACGGCGAAAGGTAAAAGAAAGATTATTTGTTTCATGAGAAAAGAACAAAGTTGTTAGAAAACAGTAAAAACTAGTAGAAAAGTAAAAGAAAGATAAATTATTCCTAAAAAGCATGAAAATCTAAAGAAATATGTAGGTTAGGAAAAAATTCATTTGTTTTCCGAAAGAAGAAAAAAGTAGATAATGAGGTTCGATCAGGGAACCTTCTAAAACAGATAAATAAGCAGAAAAGTAAAAGGACTATTGGTGTATTCGTCTACCAAGAACTGCCAATCATTGAAAAACATATCCCAATGAAAAGAGAACAGGTCATGTGAAAATTTCAAGTGCTTCCAAGGGAGAGAAAAAAGTTATAGAAGGAAGAAGTTGCTAGCCGAGGAAGGTTCTCAAACAGAAGATATACAACGAAAATATAGGAAAATAAATGAAGTTTTTATTCTTCTACCAAGGGTGTTATAATCATTGAACATATCACATCATAATGGGTATGTGAAAATTTTCTAGCATTTCCAGAAGAAAAGAAGAAAGTTGTTAGAATAGCAGAAACAAGTAGAAATTTAAAAGAAAAATTAAGTACAGTACGTGTTAGGTGATATAAAAAAGTTGCAAGAGAAAAGAAGATAGTAGATACAATAGCTAGGTCGAGAAAGAAGAAACAAGGACAAAAAGGGAAAAGAAGAATGGCCTATTTTTTACCAGGGTTAAATATAATTTATATTAAAGGCACCGAGAAAAATAGTGATTTGTTACATTATGACTGCTTACCATCTGGAGTGTTGTGACATACTTCTTCCACCAGAGATACTTCTGCATCTGAGGTCCGAAAGCCGCTAGGAAGTAGTAAGTGTACATGACGATGTGTACGAACGTGTTGAGCATGCCGAAGAAGGTTGAATGGCCACCTGCAAAAAAAAGAAAGAAAACATTAAATATAAATACATATATACATAAATCAGTATAAGCAACTACTACAAAATACATATATTAAAAAATCTCACCTCACTGGTACTACAACTACAAAAACAGAGACAGACATGTGCACACACACACGCGCGCGCGCGCGCACACACACACACACACACACACACACACACACACACACACACACACACACACAATTTCCGATTAATCGATCATCCTGGGCAATCAATTGCCATTCCAACCGATCAACCGTCACCATCTAAGCAGATTCCCACAGTGTACATTCAACCTATTATTGAATAATTTGAGTGAAAATGAAGTTTACCAGGGCTAAATTTGACACCGAACCACGTACTAAGTGGCATGACGCCATGGTGTATCACGTGGAGCTTCGTTACCTGCGAGTTCTTCTTCCTCATGACGAAAAAAAACTGTAGGGGAAAAGAAAATGAATGAATAAAGAGAATGTCAAAGCATGGGGGAGGGGGAATGAAAGCTGTTTACCGTGTCGAAGAACTCTGTGAATTTGGAGAAATAGTACCACCAACAGCCTGATGCAACCTGGACAAGAAAATTCGTTTAAGAATTTTTATTTTGCATGTTTTTTGTTTCGTTTTTGTCATTTTTCTTACTCTCATGGCATGAGGACTTCTTGAATAGTCGACAGGCTGGCATCTAAAGCTGTACGTCGTGAACCACCCAGCGTGGAGGGACTGCCGAATTTGAAATCATAAAGATGTCTAAATTTAACTTTATTAGTGAGATTAACATTTAAACACAATGACTTTTCCTTTTCTAAGTGGACAAGTGGGGATGTGTGGAATTGAAGGTTTTTGTTTGTTTAGTTGCACTTATTAAAATAATAATAATAATAGTAAACAGACACTAAATGTTGAAATGAGGATATAACACTACTTCTATGGTTGCTAGTAGAAGATAATCTAATCACAGAGCTTAAAAGTATACCATACCAGGGCAGATAACCTAATAACAATAATAAAGGGCAAATTTGACGACACTGTTGAATCAATGCAAAACACCCTAAAACTTGTAGAATTATGGGTTTAAATATCAGCCCTAAGAAAACATATCTCATCCCCTTTGCAAGAAGAAGGAAGCTAAACCTAAAAAAAGTACTCACTAAAAAGATCTAACTATCTTCATAGGTCCTGTTTACTTTAGATTGCTCCTGGTAGTCTGCCATTTGAACTGGGAAAAGAACCGGGGCACTTACTTGTTAAACAACTTAACAAAAGAATAAAAGCGTTTGAAAAGACTAATAAACTGTTGTGTCAGAATTCAGAACCCCCATATTTCTAGTTTCGTACATGTAGATTCACTTCATCCCTCCTTCCACAGGAAATATTTCCTAGACAACTTCCTTTACCAATCCATAAATTCTCGTCAGCCTCACTATATTTTCCAGCTACTCAAATCTTCTATCTGTTCTCATAACACACACTCATGTGACCTACTTCCTCGTCATAAAGCCTCCATATTGAACGTTCCTGGCTTGAGCCACGTCTCACTGGACTTCTCTTTCTTTTCAACTCCAGAAAGCCGCCTCCTTAACCTCTTTTAAATCCCTTTTGTACAATCCATCTTCCTCCAAACAAAGCCAACATAGTCCGCAATATTATTAGGTTAGAAAGTTTGTTTCCTTCCTTTTCTCAACTTTTAAGTTTACTGTTTGTGATTATGATTGCACAAGACAGAGTATTCTTTATTATGTCTATTTTTCCTAAATACTCATTATTGGTACTGTTATTTATTATGTTTTATGTCAATTTATTTCACTATATGTTAACGCCGAACGTTCAATAATTCAAGTGCCAGATTTATAAAAATATGTGACCTTATTGTTATTCATAGGGGACTCTAGTCTCAGAATAAAGCATTTTCTCTCTCATTAACATTACTCCTGGTAGTCTGCCATTCGAACTGGGAAAGAACAAGGTCTTATCCAGACAGAGAATTAAAATAAATGAGATGGGTTTATACCCATCTATGTTTTCTATTATTAGAACATGACAAAATGAAAGGAAAACTTATATTTATATGTATTTATCCATTCTACATTTATTTTCGCACTCATAAGCAAAATAGGTAATGTAAGTGAGATGGACAGGACTAGACTGGTCGGTCGATCGGTTTGATAGGAATTTCATTTGAACTTTGGCAATTCTCACAATAATGGAGGTGTTCACTTGTTCTTTTCATATCTGGGCCAGTTTGATCCGTTTTATCACCATGTTTATCTTCAACCGCTCCTTATCAAAGATCAAAAATGCGATACCAATGGTCTAAGAGATATGACAGATACGTCATCAGGCTCTGGTTCAGGTCTCTACTCATAAAACGAAGCATTGCAAGAGATACTGGAGGGGTGAAAATGTTGCTGTTAAAATATTCTTGAGGGAAAAATCAGTGAATGAGAAATCTATGGGGCAGTTGTGTTAAGGCATGAAAACATTTTTGTTTCAGAAACATGGACTCGATTTTGGTAAATAACATATTATTACGAACATGGTCCTGTTTTTTTATTACTTCAATAGAAAGTAGTACTAGTAGTCAGTCTATAGACAAGCAAAGAACTACCCAACAGATGACAGTCTTGGTAGTCGCCATGTTAAACTAGGAAAGGGCACGAGTTCCAATGAACTAAAGATTGCTAGCACTTGGTAGTCAGCTGTTCAAACTGAAGAACAGGAGGTCTCATAGTGAAACTCCAGGTTGATGGTTATTCAAATTAGGAATGACAAGACAAACTGAAGATTGCAGCAGATCGACTCCCTCTGTTTTATTACACCTTCTGGCTTCACATTAGCTATGTAAATAAAGTATTGGCACAGACATGACATTATAAAATATTTAGCAGATTGTATTATAACTAGGAAAATTGGCTGGTTGAAGGAAATATATGGGTAGAGACCAGATTTATATGCAGTAAAAATCCTCAAATATGCCATCTAATATGCACTAATAAAACATCAAATATATAGTAATGTGCACTAAAAAACCCTCCAATATGCGATTATAACTTGTACTAAATTCAAAAAGCAGCATGAATGTTAGAGGCATCACTATTATTAATTAACTTTTTGTAACGTAGACATATATTATTCATTTTTAACAGAAATAGGACAGAAAAATCTCAATTTATTGTTATATATGTCTAAATACCTACAACTTAGGCTTCATGGTTTGTGTTCTTGAATGGTAAGAACTCTCAATGGATACGTCTATTACGGAGGGATAGTTTAATAGTTTCTAATATCCTGGTCTAATTTTTGACAGAAAATTAACCAGGGCTGAACACTTAAAATCATTACAAATTAAATGTAACCAATCTGGCTGTTGCGAATATGGTTCTGCCTCTGGTAGAACGTTGAAAACAATTGACAGCATACATAATGCAAGCATAATTCAGTCGGTGCCTTTCAATCAAGCCTGGTACCTAGTTTATATGCTGAATCTGGAAATCTGCCCCTTCGTTTCAAGAGAAATATCCTTGAAGCAAAGTTCTTCCTGAAACTATTATCCATTCCCATGCATCCACTCCAAGTGCTATTTCCTCACCAACAACCTAAGAAGATGATGATCTTGTCTTCTCCACTTATACAAGAAAACATTTTATCTAGTGTCTATATTATTCAGCATCAACTTAAAATTATCGAAAATTAAAAAAAAATCTTCACCCACTCTGCCATGGCTATTGCCTACTCCAAAAATAGATTTTTCCCTTTCGAAATTTTCCAAAGATCATACGGGCATTGTGTATATAAGCAAGACTTTAAAAGGATATGTTTTTTCACAACACAATGCCATATTCATCTACATGGATGGGTCAAGAACCACTGACTGAAAGGTGCTGCCTTTGTGTATAAGAATAAAAAAGTAACTTTTTCACTGTCTCCCATCTGCAGTAACTTTACCGCCGAGCTGGTAGTAATAAATAAAGCCCTCAGTATTTTTCTCCCATTCTACAAGGGTGGTAACCTGTTCTGGCTCTCTCAGCGCTCTTCTTTCTCTTAGCAACCTTTTCACAGGCAATCCACTAATTCAATAAATCTTAATGGCTATAAAAAAAAATTCTAAAGTAATGGAGGTAAATTTTTTATGGATACCGGGACACAGTGGAATATTTGGGAATGAGCAGGTTGATTGTGCTGCTAAAACGGGTGCTAAAGAAGGATTTCCAGTAGAGTAAGTTCCCCATGAAGATACTAATAATCATTTAAAAATAACTAAGCTAAGAAATGGCTGGCAAGCAATCTGGTAAAACCCAAAAGATAAAAAAATTGAGAGAAATCAATGCAAGATAATGGAAAACAGCAATCCTAAAATACAGAAAGGAAGAAACAGCACTTGCTAGGTTGTGAATTGGTCATTGTAGGATTACACGTGGGCACCTAATGGCAAGGGAACCCCACCTCGATGCTTGACATGCGGAGAGTAACTGTAAAGCATTCACTTGTATTCTGTAGAAATAGAAAAAATAGCTTATGGGAAATTCTGGGTGACTGTCGAGAGATTACTGACAGGCTGATTAACACATGATGGACTTCTTACGTGAGACTGGTTTTTTAATTTTAGTGTAAATAATTTTATGTCTGTCTAAATATAGAGTTATTTGGGCAGCTTTATTAACCCTAGTGGCTATTTGCCTATTAAAAAAAAGTTTACATTTCGGCCGGCCTTTGTCATCATCAGTTGGTTAATGAGAACTTCTGTTCAGTCCGGGTAGCTTTTATAAGTTCGCAAGCAGAAAAACGTTTCTCTGTGAAGACAAAATGCCGAAACGCGTCATGTAGGCTAAAACAGCGAGGATAGACCAAAATACCACGACCGAGCTACTGGTTCATCACTTTTTTAAGAAGATATTTCAATTTCGAGGTTGTATGCACTCTCGGGGTGTCGGGGTTTATGAAAAACTAAGCCTATTTGTAAGTATGTCGGGTTCGAATGCAGGGCCGCTGGATTCGAACCCGGGACCTTTACCTTACAGTGATGAGCGCCGTGTAAACACCTTAACCGTTACGACCACACAACTCCCAAGGAATTTAAAATACCGATTCCTCGATTCCCTGTGTGTTTAAGATATTAATATTCCCCAATTCGGTCAAGGTGGTATTTTTGTCAAGGATATTTTTTTTTTTTTTTAATTTCTCTTGTAATAAAATTCATGGCTCGCTGTGGATTTGACTAATTTCTGTTTGCGTTGAAATGAAAAATACAACATGCTATTTTATGAAAAGTTAAGTTACAACTTTCGGCATTTTTAGGTTTATTAGTTTGAAGATTATCATAGAGGCGTTTTTCCATGACCGGACTACTTCAGAAAAAGTAATTTTTCAGGTTAGGGATTTCACGACCTTGCTTCAAATAAACAATGATAACTCAAAAACTAAAACGTTTTGGGCAAATCCGTTGATACCATTTAAAACTACGTTAAATTTCCAATAGGATGTGATCAATACTAAACTTGTAAACGTTCGTGAAATAGGCGTTTTAGTAGCCAGAACTTTAAAAAACATTTTTTTTCTTCAAAGTTAAAAAACTTACTATGGTGATTCTAAACAACTATTTGCATTCCTAGCGACCAGCAAATTTAAGAAAACGTACTCCATTTAATATCCATTTTAATGGTGTAATTGTATTTTTTAATTACTTTTTTCAAAGATGAAGAATTGATGAAGGAACTTAATAAAGACTACCACGCGATGGCAGTAGCGAAAACCAAATTGATGGTCGGGGATTATGTTTCGAGTGTTAATAAAATGCATTTATTATATTACAACTAAAGAATGCTCCTGGTAGTCGCCTAGTCAAACTAGGGAAGAACTTTTGCTCTGTTTTCAGATAGACCAGTGGGGGTGTGGAATGGAAGGGTTGTTTAGTTGCGCTTACTTAGAATAGGAATAAACAGACATTTATGCTAAAATGGCGATGCCCCATTTATAGTTTTTTTTCTTTTTTGGACTTACCTCTCGGAAAAGCCACGCACTGAACAAAACCTGGAAAAGGTTGTAGTACATGAGAGTGTTCTTGAGCTCGAAAGGCTTCCTCTTCTCCATCAGCTTCGGCCCGAGGTACTTGACGATGAAGGCGTACGCGAGGCAGATGGCTATCGTGGGCCCGGGTCCGGACATCATAGGCCAGTCTTTGACCCGTTCATCTTAGGAAAAAAGTTCAAAGTTAGTCGTATGTGACTTGTATTGTGGGGGGGAAGACTTACCGCTTTTGTTTTCCATCAGGTCGGTGTAGAAGTCACCTATGTAGGTCAGTACGGACGCCATCTCCGTTTACCTGAAAAAAAATCACAAAAACGCCGGGTTAAATTTTGATGAAACGGAATCCCGAGGTAGCCCCAACTCCGGGGCAGTCATCGTCACGGGGTTTATTTCCTCCCCCGTGGACGTTCCAGCCTAATTGACCCTATTCCGTAACAATCCGGTAATCAAGACGTGTCCGATCCATCGTTTAGTGGGGATTCTTTCGGTCTAATTTTCTCGAGCGCTTTCCCACTTTGAAAACAGAAGGAAGGCAATCCGTACCGAGAATATACTTCACTTCGATCTTTCAAGACGAAACCGGGATCTCTTTGAAGGATAGAAAGGCAAGCTAGGAAAGCACAAGAGATCCTATTAGTCTATTCAAACTGGGAAACAACAGTCCTATTATCTTAACACTGATCCTTGTAGTAGGCTATTCAAACTGGGCAAGAACAGAAGATCCCATTAATTTAACATTCCTCCTGGTAGTCGCCCAGTCAAACTAGGAAAAGACCAGATCTTGATAAGATAATTACAGGGCGTTAAGCTTTTGTTAAATAGCCAATCTGGTGCTTTTTAAGCCCGTGAAGGTCTCTGTTGAAAAATCGCTTCCTGGACTGTAAATTAAAACGTCTTCCTGATCAGGAATGTTTGCAAAAATTATTGGCCAACACCGGCTTATTATAATCATGAATTGAATGAAGTATTAACGATGCTTTCGTCTCTAATGGTAAATAAAGATCCAGGATCGAATACATAATAAAATATTGCAAACTTGCTATTGTTCCCATTTTAGTTTCTCTATGTAATAAATCCCTATAGACAGGAATTTGTCCTTATGTACTATACAGTACGGGAATATAATATACGAATATAACCTCAAATTGTCCTTTGAATTAGAACAGTTGATCGGATGTAACTTGCAATTTTCTTTTGAATTAGAAGACCTGAGTGAATGTAACCTAGAATTTTTCCTTTAAATTAGAACAGCTGATCAAACATAACCCCAAATTATCTTAAAAATTTAAACATCTGATCGAATGTAACCTCAAATTTCCCATTCTCATACAAGCTGTTGTAATTTAAAGTCGATTTTTAAATCTAACAGAGTGTTTGTGAGATTAAAATAGCTGTTCGAATATAACTTCCATTGTGCTTGATATTAGAACAGCTGATCGGATATAATCTGCAATTGCACTTTCAATTAGAACAGCTGACCGAATATAACCTCCAATTAATTGTCCTTTAATTTCGTACAGCACACCACGCGCAACATCCTCAGCACTAATTTTTAAGTACTACATACTTTTGATAAGCACTACACTTTTTAAGTTTAAAAACTAAAATTAAGAAAATAAAGATGAAAACTAAAAAGTTTATCGCTTCAGAATTGAAATGAGACTGAATAAACATTTTAAAGTGGTAATAAAAGAAATATTTGTAATTATAGACCGATTTGTGTACTACCAGTTGGCAAAGTTTTTGAAACCACAGTAGAAATCCGTTTATCCTGATTTAAAGGGACCGGGACTTGTCCGGATGAACGAATGTCCAGATAATCCGAAAATCTGTGATTTTATTAGTACCATGGCATAAAAACGGGGGGGGGAATACATACGAAAGTGAACACTTTTATTCATATATCAAGCTACATTTAAAGTAGTACATAGTTTTTATTAGTTTTGAAAAAAGGAGGGACAAATTGGAAAGTTAGTGTCCGAGTGGATCGAAGTCACGATAGCTCAGGTGGTAGAGGAGCAGCGTATTTAGCCGAAGGTCTTGGGTTCGATTCTCGCTCGTGACACTAACTTTTTCATTTCAGCCAATGCCTTACATAAAGTGTAAGACCCAATATATTCTTACTGTATGCATGATGTAAAATTAAGCTCACTTGAATAGTACAAAGGATTTAGGTGTTATATTTGACCACAAACTTTCATTTACTTATTTTTAACTTACATATCAATGTAATAGTCAGTAAAGCATTTAAACTATTGGGTTTTCTAAGTAGAAATACATCTGACTCATCTTCATCCGGACAAGTCCCGGTCCCTTTAAATCCGGATAAACGGATTTCTACTGTGGTTTCAAAAACTTTGCCAACTGGTAGTACACAAACTGTTATATTTCTCTTTGGTAAGATCTGTACTTGAGTACAACTCCCAGATATGGTCATCCTACTATAAAAATTCAATTGATGACATTGAAAAAGTGTAGAATAAATTCCTAAAATACTGTGCATTGAAGTTAGATGACACGGTTAGCATACCTCTACAAATTCAAAAAGTTACCCAGCCCCATTTGTCCCGAGTGCGGAGTGGAAGACAGTGGCCACCATAGGATTTTTAACTGTTCTCTTAAAGCCCGCGATAGAACAGGTGAAATTGTTGTTTCGTGAAAGATGGCCACAAACATTAAATGACCTAATAAAAGAAAAGCGCGTTTTCGAAACGCTAAAGTCAATAAGCCAAGCTTATAAACTAGGCACTATTTGATTATTTATTTATTTGTTTATTTATTTATTTATTTATAGAGATAAATTGTAAAATAGGTACACTAATTAAGTAAGGTAGGTTAATAGTGTTTTTTTTAGATTTTTAAAATTCGGGATGTTTACTCCTTATTTATTAAGGCTTTAATAAATTGTATATAGTATAGTCAATATGTTAATATTTAATTATCAAAGGAGTAACCAGCAAGGGGAGACTTTTCAGAATAGGAACAAATAATCAGTAAGAAATACAATAATTTACCCTTACCTTCCTTGGGCCTCCTCCCCTCACAGGGCGAGACCGAAGGAAGGCGTTAAGTACCCCAGGACACAAAATTAGAAGTAAAACTAGATTAGAGGCCGAGGTCCGCCGGTATGGGGTCTCCCTAAGGTACGGCGGGGAGGTGGAGGGATAAAAAAATAAAAAATAAAAATGACACGGTTACTATTCATGTGCTACGGACAAAATTTTCCATGTTATCTCTGGAAGCAATAAGGAACACCTATGACTTAATTTTCCTATTCAAAATTGTGAACAACCAAGTTAACAACATATTTTTAAATAGAATTTATTTAAATGTCTCTGGCAAAAGTACAAAGAATGCCAATTTGTTTTATATTCCCTTTCATTATTTGTAACTATTTCAATTATGCCCCTGTGGGGCAACACTGCTCAAGAGATGTAATTGGCGGTTAGAAGTGTTTTGGCTGTTGTAAAACTTGTAACGTATAAGCAAATAAATCGTTTACAACGTGAAGTGCGTACTTATTAAAAACATTGAAAACCTACACCCCTATTGAAAGAGCTTGTCGTCTTGCTAACAGTAATGACATTGATTTATTTTATGTCTCTTTATCAAAAAGTAGACATTTATTGTAAATTACAATTAACATTGTATTGCTTCATCAAAATGGCCAAGTGCCGTGTATACAAAAAATAAATAAATTAATATAATTAATGATTATTTGGAGGTCGTGAGATGCGGTCTGGTGTGACGTAGGTTTTCTTTATCGTGCCAACGTTTCGATCTTTATTGAGATCATCTTCAGGGCTCAAAGTGTTTGTTTTCCGTGCAGATGTGTCATTCTTGTGTCCCCAGAGGGCACTCTCAGCACGGCAGACAAGAATGACACATCTACACGGAAAACAAACACACACTGAAGATGATCTCAATAAATCGAAACGTTGGCACGATAAAGAAAATGTTTTTCTAAAACTACGTCACACCAGACCACATCGCACGACCTCCAAATTATCGTCACGTAACGGTCACTAAACACCACACAAAATATATTTAATATTGAATTTGATTATAACTAATGATTGATAATTATATAGTGTTAATACATTTTCCAATTGTTTCTATTCATTCTAAATTGTTTGTTTTATTGTTGTTTTTCTTATTTAATATTTCTAAATTTATATACAGTTTATAATACTTTTACTTAATACGATTATTGTGTACATTTGTAATTGGGAAACCGTAAATAATTTTTTTTTAAATAAATTAATAATACATGAGTAGGGGATTTGACCATTTACGTTAGGTGTATATTTCCCCTTAAACTAGATCAACAGGGCGGTGGAAGGAAGAGGAAAAGGCTGTTGACAAGGACAATTTGGCCAATTTGACACCGGAAAAGAAATTGCGTCGATTGTGCTTTTTACCCATGCCAGGTGGTTCGACATTGAAAACAGCAAAAACGAAAGAGGGCTCAGCAGATTGCGAAAGATCGAGCCGATTTCCCAACGGACTTTTTAGTAAACAAGGAAAAACAAACAGACCAAGTTATCCCGTCCTTTCGTCCCTATTCGCCGATAATATTCTTCGGTCATTTCACTCTCCCATTTTTATATAATACGCGCGCACACTCACACACGCACGCGGGCGCGAAAAAAAAATAGTCAACTTAAGAAGTGACCCCGAGATGCCAGCTTGCACAAATTCATAACGAGACACACGAGTCAAAACAAAAACAATGGCCCGTGAGAGTTTGACCCAGTTGTACAGGAAAATCGAGTCCTACCCTATGAACCGATGACCTCTGAGAAACAATGAAGGACGACGATTCCTACACCTGACCCCAACATCCTCATAATACATTGACCACGGTTAAGCTTTTTTCTTAACCGAACAGCCCTCTAGTAAAAAATAGTTTCATTTGAAAAAATCCCGATACAACTTTTCTTTATTGAAAATTGCTCCTGTGAGTCATCCTTCAAAACTAGGGAAAGAACAAGACTCCTAAAATCTTTTATTGCTCCTGGTAGCCTTCAGTATAAACTAGAAAATAACAGCTCTTGTTAAAAACCAAGTTTCTATACGAATTTTCTACCGCACCCGGTACAATATTCAATTTGCCCTCTTTAAATACCATTGCTCTTTTAAGTCTTACAAGTCCTAAGGAACAGAAGCTTAACTTATCATGCTATCCAAAATTCTATGCGCCTAGTATTCATAAATTTAAAAAAAGAGCTCTTATAAAAAAAAATCAAGCTCCTGTACAAAATCAACCAACAACCTGATTGTCCAGTCAAAGTA